CAGATAGACTTTGGCCCCCAGCTCGGCGTCGCCGGCACCTTCGACATCGGTTCTGATGCCTTCCCAGGTTGTCGCTTCGCGCACCAGTCCAGACCAGCCGAAGCGCAGCTCCCAGGCTCGCGATACGCCGATCCTGACCAAGGTTCCTGGCAGCTCGTTCGTCTCGGTCGATAATCCTCCATCATCGTATCGCGTCATCGTCCAACCCGATTCGAGTTGCCAATGACCTTCGGGCACCGTTACCGACGATTCGGTCTGGTCTGGTCGATCGGTAACTAGGTCGTCCTGGGCGAAGGCCGGGAACGAAAGCAAAAGTGCAAGTGAGGTGACTAGGCTCGGCAATCCCCGTTTTGCTGCAGATAAACAACAATCGATTCGTGGCATAAGAATGTTCCTAGGATCCATGCGGTGTACGGTGTCGGATTCGGTGTACGGTATCGAGCAGCACCGACTGACACGAGTGCGGACCAGTCAGCGTTTTGCGTGCTAGCATAATTATTTTTGACTATTCAAAATTTTACAAGAAGATAAAGCACCCAATTTGCTCAATCAGATCGGCCGGAGCAGCTACCGTGGTTGTGGAAGGGCCGCCGATCGAACCCGGGAGGATCAGCTATGACCCATTCGACAGCAAACCGCGCGTCAGCCCACCAGGGCCAAGACCACGGACACATTCATTTGGATCCGGAATCCGGCGACCGTCGAGTTGCTGTGGCCGTCTGGGCCAACGGGCTCCTGACAGCCGCTCAGATCATCGGCGGAGTCTTTTCGGGAAGCCTGGCTCTCATTGCGGATGCAATTCACAATTTCTCGGATATGGCTTCTCTCGTCATCGCGTTCGGTGCCCGCAAGGTGGCTCGCCGCCCGCCCGATGCCGAGATGACCTTCGGATATGGTCGARTCGAAATCGTCGCAGCACTGATCAACTACACGTCGCTGATCATCGTGGGTTTCTTCCTGGTCTACGAAGGGATTATGCGTTTTGTCGATCCGCCCGATGTCGAAGGTTGGACAGTGATCATTCTAGGARGCGTCGCGCTGGCAGTCGACCTCCTGACAGCCCTTTTGACCTACTCTATGCAGAAGGGCAGCGTAAACATCCGAGCRCTCTTTCTCCATAATCTCAGTGATGCTCTCGCTTCGGTGGCCGTTATCGCTGGCGGTGTGCTGATCCTGCTCTACGACATCTACTGGGTGGATCCTGCGATCACCATCGGGATCGCAGGCTACATCTTATGGCTCGCCTTTTCTGAGATCGGTGAGCCTATCCGCATCTTGATGCTGGGGGGGCCACCCAACATCGATACAGATTCGGTCATCGCCGCGATCGAGGAGGTAGAAGGCGTCGAAGCGGTACACCACACCCATTTTTGGCAGATGCAGGAGCATAAGGCAGCGCTCGACACGCATGTAGTAGTTGCAAAGTYCGCGTGGGAAGACCAAGAGAACATCAAGAAAGCGATCAAGTCTCGACTCGTTCAAGACTTCGGTATTGARCACTCCACGCTTGAGCTCGAACAGCAAGGAGGAAGCAATCCCCGAACCACGAGCCGATATTGCCCTGATTGAAATCCAGACACTTTATTGCGGGAAACATTTCGCAGAAGACCGAGAGAGCGAAATTTTAGACCCGTCCGACGCTGAGCCGGACCCTTCTGGAAACGGCGAGTCGGGTTGGTGCGTTCTGTCGGATGAAAGTGG